TTGATTTGCCCATTCTGCAGGGAAAACACACACACTAAAGCAGGGCTGCCTGCTTTAGGTCACAACCTAACCTACCTAACCTAGGTTAGGTTATGCTGTAGCTGCATGGAAAGTTGAATGTAGGGGTCTCTCTAATTTTGTGGACATTAAGTGTATAAATGTGACGGAAACCCGGAAATATACTTTTTTTTAGTGAGCGTGTCGAACGAAGTGGATCTCTGAGGCTGCCAAGGGGTTTAGGGAGCCCTAACAGAATCCCTTCTTTTCTTGGGACAAATTGAGCCTGAGCTGAGAGAATAGTTCATTTATAATCCGCCGGGAGAGCATTCATATAAATGTTCACCGTTACTGCTTCCCCCGTTTTTTTCTCATTCATCACTTTTTATTGAGAATTTTCGATCATCTAATCGTGCGTTTCTTGAGTGAGATTGGTTTATTCCCTTCCTTTCTGCGACTCTCATTGCTCTGGATTGCTTTTTAAATATTGTTTAAAGTTCATTAAAGGTATCACCGATGCTCTTATTCATTTCTCATATTGAGGGGGTAGAATTTCTACCGTGGATCTTATCGAAGGACGCCATTCTCATATGCTACACATGGACGTGCTCATTTTTAATCCAGCTGTCTTACGTCACGCTGCATTTGGATCCGGGATTCCCTTATGGATCTGGTTCGGGACCTGTGATCTAGCGTTGCGTCATGATTTTCTCACATGGCATTTGCCACGAGGGCTGAAACCATTTCCAATTTTTTTTCCTTTGCATCGAGTGGCATCAATTTTATCGGAAAAATGATATACAGTATATATATCCGATAAAGTATGGCGTGCCATAATATTTCCTTTCTTACCGTGACTCCAAACTCCAAACATTAAGGGCAATTGCTTCATAACGTTGACGCCTTGTTCTAGGAACATGGTTTTGTTTGGAGTCTGGTGTTGGGATCTCGTCACGATAGCGCCGTATTATTTTAAAAACCTATTTTTGGAAGGCGATTGCGGAAGTGGGATTTCCTCATTCTCGTGAATGAGGAATCGCTCGCCTTGGTCACGCCTTCGGCGCTGCATTGTGCAGGTTAGTGATTCATTCAGTGATTTACTTTCAAAGTTGCAAGAAACGTGAACAAAGTATATGCCTGTCGAAATGTGTGCCGAAAGATAACGAACCGATATTTCGATCGAAATAACTAGCCAAATTATTTCTCGTGTGCCTGACTTCTCTTCATTATCTGTCCTGATGGTTCTTATTTGAAAAGTAAGATATGCACTAAGCAATCGAACAGGTACTTCTGCTCCAAGTTTCCACTTTCTTTAGTTCTCTCTTGCATTGGATGAGAAAAGATTTTTCAAAATGTGCCTCTTGCAAGAAATTTGCCCCCGGGGGGGTTATCTAAAAATTAACATTTTAACTGCAATCAACTATGGAAGAACTACGTGCCTAACAAGTTTCAGTTTCATCCGTTTGCTCCTTTTGTTGGTGCAAGAATAAATATATATTTCGAAAAGCCAATGCAGCCAGCAGCTGCGCCCTGAGGGTAGGCACCACAAAATTTGAGTTCTTCCGGAGCTCACCATCAACTCAGTTATTGCAGCGCCTTGTTTCAGTTGATCATTTCCGCCCAATTCAGTAGGCCAAAAAAAAATTCTTGAAAACGTCACCCCATTAAATATGCCCTTAGGGCATGCATCCGAAACTTGATATTTTTCCTGAATTGAGTGTCTCAGCAGGCATGTCCATGCCAAGTTAAAGCTTTCCATGTCTCTCCGTTTGACCGAGGTAAATACATATCTTTGAAAATATCTCCCCCCGAAATGGGTGCTCCCAGGGAACATACCTCCAAGGTCGGATTTTTTTGTTTTGAACTCTGCATCCCAATAGCTACTTGTGTACCAAATTTCAGAATGCTAACTTCTCTAAAACATGGTTAGAATTAGTCAGTCACTAAGTCGCGATCGACTTAGTGACTTAGATTTTAGAAGTCTTCCAGGCATCGACAGCCTTCCCTTTTGGTTTAATGTCTGTAGACATTCTTTTCAAAGTTTGCGAGCTTCCTCGGTGCATTTTTTTTATCGTTCCTTTTTTCGAATACCGATCAGAAAGCCCAGTTTTACTCTGGGTAAATCCCTTGGTTTCTTGCAGAGCGTTTCACTTTTATACCAATGCCAAAATAAAATCGATGCAATAATCGAATCGATGAGAAAATGACTGGGAACATTTTATTGCGTTGTATTAGATACATAATATTTGCCTTGTACTTTAGTGCTTACAATGTATAATTTAAAATCTTAAATTGAACCATATTGAAATATCAATTGATGTTTCATCAATTAGCATTGCCGTTTTTAGTCATTTAGTCTTTGCTTCATTGAAAAATAGACGGACTCATTCCTAATCTGAGTTCATTTCATTTTGAAGAAAATTTTATTGATGATGGGATTCTCGTTTATTTCGAGATCAGGTGCTGAATCAATATATTTACAATTTTCTGCATAGATTATACTCTTCCTATCTACCGCACTATCATATGCAAAATATGATTGAATAAATATGTAGGTTATGATTTTCGCCATGAAAAGGATTCAGATTTGCATCAGCTTAATCAAAAAGAATAGTCGTAATTGAGGCGATGGAATAACTTTAATTACCACATTAGGAAGGAAAATAAAATATTAGAAGCATTGAATCAGTCAGGCGAACGCTTAAGTCTGCTCAGTTTTTCATAACTGAATCATTTGAATAATGAACGTACTGAATCATTCAATGCGGAGAAAGAAAACGATCGCAGCGTGACCCGTGCCACTCGTTCCTCACGTAACGAAAATTACACAGTCAACGGATATTGCACTGTTGCAGTTTATGGTCTCAGTCCCATTTTGATCAGTTGGACAACTGTTTAGTTAACACGTGAATATATTTTCATATAGAAGACGTCGCGGAAGACTCGTTTTCATTTGTAACTTAGACTGAGACGACTCCTTCGACAGAACGCCATATTTCACAGACCCCCTAAAAAAATTTCCAGCACTTCACAGCTTAGCATCCGCGAAAAAGCGTCAGTAACAGTGAATTCTGTGATGAGTAGACATATGATCATATTGCATGCAGTTGCATGACATCGAACCCAAATGATCAAAACAGAATGTTGTGCATATTAGAGTAAACAATTTGTAGTGCATCACTAACGACCGTGAGAATTCAAGAACCTTCGGAGGTGAAAAAGGGTTTAAAAGAAAATAGAATCTGGAAAAGTGTTGTTCAAATGCAAAAAGCATATATTTCAAGCTGGAGAAAATGCGGAATAACAGAAAGATACAGAAACAAAGGAATCGATGGACTTTTCATGGTATACTGCACCACTGAGCATCCTGAGTGTTGGGAAAGATAAAGTTGTTCACGAAACCTGGAATTTCGGAAGCAAATGACAAAGTATAAATGAAGTATGAAGAAAGAATGCGCAAAAACCGTTTGGCGAAATGGAGGTACTTACTTGATGTGCTCGTGAAGACACTGCCAACATCAGGTGAACAATTGTCCCGACCGTACGAAGTAATACCGACAGTCGCGTAAACACCTTTTGAAGTTCTATACATGAGGGATCCACCAGAGTCACCCTAGAAGAAGAATTTTCAGCGACTCCTCTATAAGTTCTGGATAATTCCATAACGAATTTCATTCGTATTGATAGTTCTGGCTTACTTGGCAGGTATTTCTCCCAGCTGTTTTCACGCACACGAAGTTGTTATTCAACTGAGGACCCCAAATGCTCTGACAAGTCTGAAGACTCATTACGTATACCGCCGTTTCCATCAAAACATTCGAGGGAGCATTGCTACCTGAAAGAATGCTCAATGTCTGAAATCTCAGTGATTGAATCATCAATCCCACTCGAATCATTCGTCATTGACTCACTTTGCGAAGGGCGGCCCCATCCTGCGATCGTCACCACCGAATAGGGACTGGGGTAGAAACCAGCGAGACAAATGGGACGGATGTTTGGGTAAGCTGCAAAGTTGACGGGAGTCTGAAGTCTCAGGAGCGCGATGTCGTTCTCAAATACCTGTAAATTATAATTGGGATACATGATGGCTGTTCCTGGAATCTGAATAGCTTGACCTGCGGGCCATTGATTCATGGTCCTCGATCCCAGGGTCACGTAATATGTCGCGTACGGGCTACAATAATAAGATGATAGAGGCGATTGATAGTTTCTGGAGGATTCGAATGCATTCATGATAATCGTAGTTTCGACCAAAAATTCTTACTTTGACGCCACGCAATGAGCGGCAGTGAGTATGTAACGATCGTTTATGAGTGCCGACGTGCATTGGAAAGCATTCCTGCTCGTCCCCATCCATGCTATCCACGGGTACTTCCGTTGACTGGTAACGGGAATTCCTCCAATGATTCGATCGATGTCAAAATCAGTCGAGTTCGTTGTGTCGTCTGAGGACCGCTTTCCCGTTTGAGAGAGTCCGCAATCTGCAACATATCAGTGAGTGGCAGCGCTGTTCTCATCGCACTGTAAGAGGTTTGAAAGAATGAATTCTATGTATCTGAACTCACAGCAGGAAGCTGAGGCTCTTGATCCTAAAAAGAGAAATTGACACACAATGAGAAAGAGATGAACGATATTTCCTCCAACTGGAATGCATATTTTGTTAAAAGTTCCTTGGTATTACACCTCCGTATTTATAAAGAGAACTGCCTTGTAAAAATGGTTGGTATGAATGCATTTGAAGAGGGACACATTTTGCAATATCGCTTGATTTGTCCGATACGTGAATTATTCGTTGATAACTATGTTGAATTTAGCTTTCCGATATTGTGAGGTAATGTCAAACCTGGGACATTATGGTATACTAGCATCAGCGGGATATTCATAGAATCTCCATTCTCCTCGCCCTGTAGGAACAGAAAGTAACAATATCCTCTTCAAACATGAAAATTTCGCCAATGTATATTTCTTCCTTTTTGAACAAAAAATTTAACCGGACCTGAGATGATGCGGAGAACACGAGGAAGAGGAAACAGACGGAGAACGGTGATGGATCCATACCGCCGGCGATGTGGAATGCACTATCGATTGAGGTCTTCTGCTTGGAAACGTAACCAATGATACCGAATTTATACCATAAGCCTCTCCGGAACGGCCTCCTTTCCCAAGGTGACATGAATGCCATATGTACAGGTGTGTTGGCAGGAGTTATTTCATGATCTAGATGATATCCCCAGTTTCGGCTCGCGGTTCATGTAATACGGTAGGTCCGTAAATATAACAATGTTAGTGGGGTCTGTCCTTTTTTTTAGACACTCATAAATAAATTTGGCCTTCCGAAAAAAATGAGCCTCTCGCTAAGCTTTTGGATTAAGCCCAGGCCCACTGAGATGTGAAGAACATAAGTTTGACTGAAACCCGGAAAATGATTCATTTTTCTCGAACGAACTGGATCTCTTTGACTGCCAAGTATGACTGCCGGAACCCTTAGGGAATCAAATTTTCTTGGGACAAGTTGAACCTGAGTTAAAAAGAGTCGTTCATTTACATGGTGTTGTGAGAGCTGTCATGGAAATCTTTGCTTGTTGAAGAAGTCAAGATGGAGATGAAAAATTACTTAAATTCGTGGTATCTCTAGCTCCTGCCTTTTTTGCGAGGCCTAGTTTTGGCCACGCCTGACGTGCCTACCCTGACGAGTCTCCACTGGATTATGCCTCATCGACAAATGTGAACTTTCTGGAAACCGGTTCGGACTCGGTGTTTAAGGAAGAAACGGGAACTCTGGTAGAGACCTCATCGACGGTGCAGAATTTCTAATGAGAATCCTGATGAAGGACGCCATTCTCATGTTGCACATGAACGTGCTCATTTTTTTTCCAGCTTTACTTTGCGTCATATTCCATCTGGATCCGGGATCCAGTTCTGGACCTTGCGATCAAGCGTTGTGTCTTCATTTTCCCAGATGCCATTTGCCACGAGGGCAGATAGCATTTCCAATTTTTCTTTCTTTCGATCGTTCGGCGTGAACTTAATCGGAAACATAAGGTATCCGATAAAGAAAGGTGCTAATTTTTTTTTCTTTCTCACTATAATCCCGGCGAAAAGCTCAAATTACCTGATGATGTTGGCGTCTTGTTCGATGAATATGGTTTTCGTTAGTGTCTGGTGTTAGAGTCTCGTCACGATAGTGTTAGATCATTTGAAACCTAATGTTTGCAAAGTGATTTTGAAAGTGGAAATTTGTCATTCCTGGAGCGCATCTTATGATTCTTCCGTGCACTTTTGGCTTTAATTCTGCGGACATTCGTCTCAAATTCAGCCAGTTTTCGCAGGTAGGAGCGCAGTTACATTGGTTTAACTATTTTTTTGGCAAATAACACTCGCAAAGATCCAGTTTTACACTCTGGGTAAATCTCTCGTGTTCCTGAGGAGTGTTTCACTTTCATACCAATGCCAAAATCAAATCGATGTTTTGTTTTGATGCCCCATCAGCCAGGAATATAAACTATTACCGATGTTGAAAGCTTTGCCATGAACTTAGTTAACTAACTTAAGTTAGTGAACTTAGTGCGGAGAGATCAATAGAAAGGACTCGAGTGACATTCAAAGACTTATCATGATGGGGCACACGTAGAGCAAGTAAATGTTTTTTTTTTCTACACGAACCCAATAGCAAAAATTACTGCCAGATGGAAGTTTCGTGGCAGGAAAAAAAATTGTATGGGAGATATCTGAAAAAATAAAATGCCTACGTGAGCCGTGGTGCGGATAAAAAAGTGAACGAGACTGAAAAATTAGCTTCTCAGGGTTCCAATTTCATCGGAGTTGAAGGAATAGGGCGTAGAAGAATATCTGGTAATGCAGCATAGATTTAACATCGAATCACTCAGGCTTCTTCTCCGGTCTAAGTCTCTTCCCATTCACTTTTTTGCGAGACTCCCCTTCCCCCTTGACTTCTCCATACCGCTCCCCGTGAATAGGAGCAGGTTAGGCCAGAGTGAGGATGGCCCAGGTTGGAACTGCGCATGCTCCGACTTGCGATAGGGAGGGGAAGCCCGAGTCCAGTAGCTCTGTAGCAGATAGCACTCTTTTACCCATTTCTTATGGCTTTACTTGTTTCGAGTACGACGCCAAAATCCTGACTCTCACGAAGTAGCCCAAATATTATTCTGGTCGGAGACATTCCAGAAGATGACATTTTTATATGCTCATTTTTAATCCAGCTGTTTCTTTTGACGTGATACTCCATCTGGATCCGAGATCCCGTTCTGGGTCTGGTTCCGGATCCGCAATCAATGTTGCATGATCATTTTTTCACCTGTTATTTGCCACGAGGGGCTGGGGAAACATTGCAAATTTTTCCTTACTTCGCGTCGCCTGGCGAAGAACTTCAAGGTATTCACTTCAATACGAGCGATGAGGGGGTTTTTGGTAAGTGATAAGAGAGTAAATTTGAACTAGCTCACATCCCTAGTAGCACATAACATTGATTCTATGTTGATTCTACATCCGGGCGTTGAATCAACGGTGAATACATGTTGAATCAATATTTTGTGCTACTAGGGATATTGGTCACTTTTGACTTCCTAAACGTTAGGAATTTTCTAAGAGTGTACGAACATGGTTTTCATCGGTGTTTAGTGTTGGAATCTCGTCACGATATCGCTATCTATTTTAAAAACTTCAATTTTGGAAGACGATCACGGAAGTGGGAATTCGTCATTCTCTGAACGTATCTCCTAATTCTTCCGGGCACCAACCGACTCGGGCGAGCTTTCTCAGTGGAGTAATATGATTTTCTTTTGCGAATAACGATCGTAAAGCCCAACTTGACTCTCTTGGTATATCCCTCGTTTTCTTGCGGAGCGTTTCACTTGCATACTAATAGCAAAATAGGATCGGTGCAAAAATGGATAGCCAAATGTATTGCGTCGTACTGCATTGAATATATTTGCCTAGTACTTTAACTCTATGCATCACAGATTAATTTTTTCTTCAGGGTCGTTCAGAAGTAATGTCTTCTATTTAATTTCTCCTTAAATATTACCTGAAAATTTATAAGACTTGCATGGACAATTCGTACATCCGAGTTGAATACTGTATTATTTTGAAGACGTGGAAAAGGCGATCCGGAATAGACAAGAGAAGTGTGACAAGGAGTTTGTATTTTGGAATTTTCGATGTGGGTCTTACTTCCCGTATTGGCTGCAAATGAGTTATTGCGGACCCACATTGCAGTGGGCTGCCCGTGTTGGCTCCACATCGGCGCTTGGGTGGAAGCGAAGATCTGTCTTTGTTATTTAAGCAGGAAAACTTCCCACATATGAAGCGAGATGGCACCTACGTATCGCCACTTCAGTGGTATGAGGGAGTGACTCGTTAAAAGATACTAAAACTTTTCATGCGGTTCTTGACCTTTTTCTGCAGCCGCGCTATGGAAAGACCCTCGAATTTTGCAATTCAGTTGTTCAAGCAGGTTACGCAGTCCAAGGAGATTCCTGTCTCTTTGGTTAAAATCATGGGTCTGCTCGATGGGATGAGGATGAATGCTGCTGTGCTCTTTCGATCACGGAGGCTGCATCAAGCTGACTTTCAGGGATCGAACGGAATTGAATTGAACGTGATGAAAGAGAGTATCACCGGAGAAGCCTTTTCAGAGAGCCATTTGAGGGAGGAAAAAAATGTAGCCAGTATATGCTAAATATCGGTTTTTCAATATTGCCATTCCATCATCGATTCAGTATCAGACCGATGAGATGATCCAATGAGCCCATGTTGCCTTTTTTTGAGGGAAAAAAGTTTTTAGGAAATGTTTTAGTTCTCCTTCAGGCCACTAGATGAAGGTATAGGTCTCGCGTTTCTCAAGGCGCACAAAAGTGGCTTTCTCTTCATCCGTGGAATCTCGCTGGAATGTTTAGTACCTCGCTCTATGCCTGGCTTAGTCTTACTATAGGAATCCATGAATTCGGAAACTTCATCATTTGTTATCCTCATATTCAAGATAGAATCTATTTTCTCTTTTCCTCAAGCAAACGGAAACATTCATTACAATTTTTTATTAATAGAAATGGAATAATTAATCGATGAAATGAAGATGATAATGGTCAAGCAGCAGGTTTGTGTTAATTTTATGTAAAGTGAATGTACATTTTTTGTTCATTTTATATCTAGTTTACGCAAACCAACAAGATAATGAAAACACGTTTGCAGAAATGTCTCCTCTGTACTACGTAAACGGTGATATAAAATTAACGTAAATCTTATGTAAAATTGACATTCCCGTTTACATCCCCAACAGCATGTTTACATTCATTTTGCGTAAAATTGATGTTAAATTACACCTAACATTCGTCCGTATTTAACGAGGCAATTCGCACTTTTGAAAAGAATTGATACACGGTTTTTCTCCCATTCCTTTCCATACTTTGGAACTCAAGGTTACTCGGACGAGTACACAAATACACAAGTATTCATCCTCTCCCCCACTCAAGAGTACCAAGCTGACTCACTAGTTCCTCCTCGGACCTCGGGATGAAGAATAGATGTTTAGAGAAGATCTCTTCCATGAAGTATATGAGAAGGTACAGTACTTGTGGAGCTAGGATTCTACTCTTCCCTAATCCCGTGCACTTCTGTAATAACAAGCTTAGTTTCAGCATTTAATGATTTCCTGTGTCATATATTATTAAAAAAATATGTAATAATTTCCTGCTATCCATATATATATTCATGGATTGCATAATAAAAAGTGAAGGGATGGTAAGAAAGCATGATACTATATCGGGAAAGCCAGTACTTAAGCTGTAGGTTGCAGGGAACAAGGGTTCCATCAAATGAGGAATCTTGGTATTGCAACTGCGGCCCAAGCATCATGTTTACGTAAACCATATATCAATTTTTCGCAAACAATGTAAATTTCTTGCGATTGCCATGAAAATGACATCACGTTTACGTAAAATTTATGTTTCTATATTTGTTCAGCCAGCAATGAGCGTGCTAACTTCGCCCTTTGGCCTTGAGCAACTTCTTGGCTGATGGCGTGATCGGCAGCTGCTCACTCGCGGTCAACACTGCTTGTCTGCGTTTCTTTATCTTTCTTGTGTTTACTGTGACTATTCATATTCTTGACTTGATAAATTCATTATAACTTTGTTATTTTTTGCCCATCCAGAATGGTTACAATACGATAGT